TACTGGTTAGTTTCTGCGGAACCAACAGGTTGTCCAGCGCAGACAGCGCTACACCTACATTCTGTTGGCTAATCAGCATTTAGTGGGTGATGTGATGACCATCTTTACTTCCCAGGACTTGACCTGTTAGCCAAGGTCACCCATGAAACAAATCTGGCACCATTCTGATTTGAACCCATGACCATTGGGATCTGCAGGTGAAAATCTAGCCACTACACTATGGGGGCTACCTCGGTTTAGATACCAGATTATTAACTGTACAACTGACATTCCATATTTTCCCACACCAGTAGTAAGACTACTGGTTGTTAGATGGATGGGTGTCTCGGTTGACCAGGCATGTTGCCATTTGTCCTACAGGAACTGTCCAGACATCCTGCCATCCTTTCTACAAGAACACTACCCAGGCATGTTGCCATCCGTTCTACAAGAACACTACCCAGGCATGTTCCCATCCGTTCTACAAGAACACTACCCAGGCATGTTGCCATCCGTTCTACAAGAACACTCCCCAAGCATGTTGCCATCCATTCTAGAAGAACACTACCCAGGCATGTTGCCATCCGTTCTAAAAGAACCTGCCCAGGCATTTTGCCATCCGTTCTAGAAGAACCTGCCTAGGCATGTCGCCATTTGTTCTACAAGAACATTTTCACAGGCATGGTGCCATTTGTTCTACAAGAACATTTTCACAGGCATGGTGCCATTTGTTCTACAAGAACATTTTCACAGGCATGGTGCCATTTGTTCTAGAAGAACATTTTCACAGGCATGTTGCCATTTGTCCTACAAGACATTTTCAGGCATGGTGCCATTTGTTCTACAAGAACATTTTCATAGGCATGGTGCCATTTGTTCTACAAGAACATTGTAAAGGCATATTGCCATCACTCCCATAAATAATCCCAATTAAATGATCTACATAACCAAAAAATCATGTGAGTAAAAGAAGCAGGCCCATCAACATCTATAAACAATGAACAAAGTTTGCAAGCATGCACAAGCTACAACCCCGAGACAAGGTTGTGGAGTAAATATGACCAATAAAGAATATTTGATGTTAACAATAGCAAAGATAAAACTGGTCAAAAAACAAAACGGTACACAGGATGCAGCAACTATCGGCTGTTGAGACTCTATCAGACAGATATATAATACTGCCAGAGCGGGTCACACTTGAACACATCAACAATTCAAATACATCAATCAGATGGAGGGAATATCGTCAAGAACTACTGCCCCCCCCCCCCCCCCCTATGTTTATGTCAATTATTCTGAAAATGATTCCCAAAAATATTCACGTACATGACAAAATTTGTCAAATATGATCTCGCCCTCTTGTCTTTCTTTGCTTTAACCAGTTACAAATGTTTGTCTTGGGAAACATTGTTTGACTTATAATGACATGAGCCAACCTTAAATAGCTGAGTCTCTTTCTGAAAAGACAACAACAGATATGCTTTCTACTATAAACTCCAGCTGTTACCCATGGACTCCTCAAGGTAGCCAGCTGTCTTGTACAGCACAACTGTAGCTTCACCCACAGCTAGTATATACCATAGACTGCCATCTGCCCCCCCCCCACCCAAGATATGTGATGATAAACTGAGGTTACAAAAAAACCCTCCACTGAACCTCCATAAAAACGTGCCTAGTGCAGACAGCATGCACTCACACATCAGACGATGTCCCAAAGATGTGGCTCCTTGCCCAAGCTTAACTGTATGTGGCACTATATCATTCCCAGCTAGTCATCTCAGCCTCTACCCCAGCCAGTAGTACTCCTAGAACTACATAGTCTTCTAGAGTCCTGTCTCAACTGAATGTTTAAGTTACTGTACTGACAGAGTACAAATGTCAGAGCACAGAGAATTCACAGTACAAGCGTAACAGATCTTCGATCAACTGACAGTCTACAACATCAGCTTCCCTGTGTGTGGAGACATCCAAATGCTGGGTCCGCCTGCGCTGTCTGGTGACAACATACGGTCCCACTACCATTTACTGACACGGCCCAGACTACGACGGCCAGGTACACCATCAGGCTGCAGTTAAATATCTCACTATGTGAGAAATGACCTGTGGTTGTCCTAGCTAATATTACCCCAGCATTATCATGTGATGGCATTTGCCATAAAAACCTCCCTGTTGGTATTCTCACCAACAACTGTTTGTCATTACCCACGATACTACAAATTATCTCACAAATTGCTTACAAGAGACACCTTACAAATTACATAAAGATGTTCTATGTTCAATTGGCCCTACAACATACAACAATCACATAGTCAATTTACATCCCATATCCTACAATATACATCAAGAGGTTTTCTACCAACTTACTTAAACTGACATTTTACCCTACAACTTAACGTTTTTTTTTTTACATCAGATGTAATACAAATTATATCAAGATATGTCATCAAGTTACATACCAGACATTTTATAGCTGTTACTGAATGTTAAGATTTTTCAGTTTTCTGCAACTTACACAAGAAATTCTAAAGCTTTTATTAAATGTCTGAATTTTCTATTAAATGCCATAATTTCCCCATTTCCTGCAACTTACATAAGAAATTCTAAAGCTTTTATTAAATTTCTGCATTTTTTTTAAATTTCCTGCAGCTTACATAAGAAATTCTAAAGCTTTTATTAAATGTATGAATTTTTTTCATTTCCTACTACATTAGAAATTCTAAAGCTTTTAATAAACATCTGAATTTTTCAATTTCCTTACACAAGAAATTCTATACATTTCATTAAATGTCCAAACTGCACAGATTTCCTACAGCTTCAATTATAGTGAAATCATTTCACCATGCAATCCCCCCATGTTTATTAGGATTTGAATCCAGCAGTAAACACTTTACTAACAGACGGCTCCCGTGGCTGTCAGACAGTGGTACGAGAGTTGCACCATGGTAGAGACTGGGCTCCCCTCACCAGAGGTAATATTCCCATAGTTAACAATGGCCAATCTCCACCGTGGAGAGGACACAACCCAAAACTGACATTAGATATATCCTACCTCTGACGTCAGTTATTGTCCTACAGCTTACAGGTAACTGTTAATTTACATCAGATGTCCTACAATTAACATAAAGGTATTTTCTACACCTTGCATTCTATAGCTGTCAACAGATGCCCCACAATTTACATAAAGATATATCCTACAACTTACATAACAGACAGTCTGCAGCTGTCAACAGATGTCCCACAATTTACACAGCATCTATAAGCGACACTTGAGGTGTCCTGTATTTATATCAAAAACATCCTACAATGCATAACAGCTTCCTAAAACCCTACTGAATTTTTTACAACTGACAAATCAGATTCGGTAAAATTCACAGAGATAACAATTGGTGGCTAAAATGTCCCACAACAGATAAACATAATTCTATATGACGTAGTGTCTACAACTGCTAGCAATTATGGTCTACAATTGGCAGGGATTACCTAACAACATACAGAGGTCCAGGCCCCACCAGCCTGCCTACTGGCCCTGTGGACCAGACATGTTGTCATTGCTATGGACATGCAAATTGTCCCAACTGAGAATGAGCACCAAGTAATGGCTGGCATGACCATAACCCTGTCAGCCACTCAGAGGTCTAGACAAATATTACACAGCACCATATCCCCACAGGCAGACACTGTGGTGTAGTGGCCAGACACTCGCCTGCACATTGGAAAGTCATGGGTTCAGGCCCTAGCAGAGCCTGACTTTTTTTTCCCCTTCACAAATGACCTTGACTTCCAGGTTGACATTGACTTACATGGGTACCAGGTGCAGTCCTGGGAAGTAAAGGTGACTGGTGTGATGCTGACCACATCACCCACCAACTGTCGACTGGTCTATACAGGTCTAGCCCTATATGCCCATTGAAGGTGTGGAAAAGAGTCCATATATTCACAATGATTCTAGGTCTGGGAGGTGACTTGACTTTTATCTGACCTAAACTCCCACTGACTGACACCCCTCTGCCATGTTAACTTAAAGTTTAAACTAAAATGTAGACAATTCTAGCCAGATCTGATGTTTAGTAATAAGCAATACTGTCAAATACAACATACCAGTTATGTTTAACATGTTCTACCAACTGGTATTCCACAAATCAGGCTAAGAAATTCATGAGGCATTTGTAGATTTGGAAATAAAATTGGAATAAATGAGAACAGTGAATAACACCAAGTTACAAGATGTGTGAGTTGCTACTAAGCCAGGATCGGCTGGTGTAATACAAAAATTATTGCGGAGAGCAACCAGGCATACTCACTACACTGATCCATTGATAACAGGCGGATCCTGAAATTTGCATCCGAGAATCATCCATGTTAGATATTTATCCGAGAATCATCCACGTAAGATATTATCTCCATCTATCACACAGACTGTAAAATCACTTTTTTCATTTTACAAACCCGGGAAATGGAACACAAGTGTAATTAACATGGACATAACAAGAAGCAAGTGTAATCAATAAGGACTTGAGAGACAATACAGAGAACAAATTAACAGAAGTAGATAGGGAATAAATTACAAATATGTGTGTACAGGCGATTCCAAAAGAGAACACAGACATTGACACGGATACACATTACAAATGTGAAAACATATATCAAGAAAGATGTTAACATAGCAGAAAAAGAAGAGTAAAGAAATACACAAAAGATAAGACAGATTTGCAACAGTAAGAACATAAAACAAAGTTCATATTCAATAAAGATTAGGCAGTATGTCAATATCACTAGAGAGAGAAGACAAAGTTCAGGGCCAGACACCAACTATGCACCTTGTGCATTTGGCTGAGACAATTTACAAGAAAATCTCCCATCAAATTAGCAACATTGTGCAGCAACAGAGAGAGCTCATCTGCAGCAGCAATAAACTGTGTACTGGTGCTTGTTTCTTGTCAAATATTAGAAATCCACCCATTCTCTGCATGAAAACATGCATCCAATTAAGAATGAAAACTGTCAAAATCAAATATGGGTACCTTTATCTTGATTGGCAGCAGCAGTTAGCAAGTGATCTGTGTGTGTCGGGGCAGGCGCCATGCTCAATTGGCTGTGCTAGTGTCACTAACAAACCTCACATGCCCAGCAAGCTGTAACTCGAGACCTCAAGACAAATCTGCAGATTTAGCCTGAACCAAGATCTGAAAGCAAGAAGACAACACTTCAGTCTTTGTCTCTCTCTGGTACTGCTTCTATAATATCAGACAACATTCAAAGAAACTGAAGTCCATGGCAAAGTAAAGCTTATAAGTCATGTGACAAAGATGCTACTGAGAACAATAATGAGAAGAATAAGAAACAAGATTGAACAAGAAATCAGTGAAGAACAATGTGTATTTGTAGAAGGAAAAGGTACAAATACCATTTACAAACTCAGAACTGTCGGAAAGAGCTACACTTAAGCTTAATTGGCTGTACAAAAGCATCTGATTGTGTGAAACATAAATACAAAAAAATATGTATTGGTAGCACACAGCAGCTATAAGAACTGACAACTATTTAGGAACATTTCATAACATAAAGAGGGGAGCAATACAAAGATGTGTACAATGAGAGGAAGTCAATACATCACATTTGGTTATGAAATGGCAAAAAAATTTAGCAGCTGGTTTCTAAAGGTGTCATTATGTGACAGCAACATCAAACCTTATTTCATGTCTCCGTTTGAGACAAAATGGTGACAGTATTAAGGGAGCGTACCCTAAAAGAATAATGCGCTGTAGTTTTGTGTGTGTGTGTGTGTGTGTGTGTGTCGCTCAAGAGGAAATGCTTCCTTTTTATGTTGACAAACATTTACCCCGTAAATTTGCGCATAGCTGGGTAAAAATAATATCTTAAGGGGACACTAAAACTGATGATGAAGTCCGATCTGGTCATCCTGTTGAGACTGCCATAGACACATAACTGCAGCAGCTGGAGGAAATGATTAAAGGTGGCAGGCGCGTAATTGTTGACTCTGTAGCAGCTGCAACAGAGTGCTCACATTGTTCAGCATACAATATATAACGCATGATCGATTGAAATTTAAGAAAGTGTGCTCAAGGTGGGCATGCAGACAACTGACGGATGAACACAAAATGAACCGATTAGGCCTGATCTTGCAGCATCTCTGTTGATGTGGAAATGGAGAAGACATGCTGAACTGGATTATTACTGGCGAAAAATCATGGGTGTATCACTACCAGCCCTAATCAAAGCGTGCTTCATTGCAATAGAAACATCCTTCTTCGTAGGAGAATGACGCAAAATATTAATGTGAAGTAAAAATGTGGTTTAAAAAACAGACCACGCAGTTCTATGCAGTAGGTTTGAGAGGACTCATAAAACAATAGGACAAGTACTTCAACTTTGGTGAAAATTATGTTGAAAAATAAAGGACAGTGTATGTGTGTATGCTTTCAAGTTGAAATGCTCTTTGGTTTTTGTTTTTTTAAAACAACCATTTGTGACTTAACTATTGACTTCACCTCCTATCATCTGATTTGTTTTTATTATACAGTGAATACATGATATATATCATGGAAATGCCAGGAACTGTTTAAGGTGGTCATAATATAAACAACCTATGCTATGTTGTTGACACACTGGAAGATGTCTTACACAGGTTTTTTAAAAACAAAACAAAGAGAGATCACAATATTATCCAAGCTCAGAAAGCAACCTGGGTACAAGACTGACATTGGAAGTTCCCAACTGCAGACAAGCAAATTGAATTAATTAGATCGTGTTGACATCACATTTTATTTATCATAGAATCCGTAACTCATCATTCTCAAAACTCTCATTCATATGATAGAACAGGACATTCTAAAACAACATTTTACATAATGGAGACCATTTTATGCAATAAATCTATCTCACTGGATTTTAGACAAGAATATAGTCACCTTTAACATTTGGCTGTGAATCCTGGACAACAACAAAACTTTTTTTTAAAAAGCCAGACAACATCTTGAGGCTTCGTAAATGTGAGTTTTTTGGGGGCAAAAGAAATTGTTTAGCTTTTTTTTTTTTAAGTTCATGTTTGTAAAACTTTTACAGAATAATTCCTATGTTCCCTGGATAAGGTTTTAATGGTAGACCTACAGTCTACATTGACGGTCAAAAGCTAGAGACAGACCTATCTGGGCTTCATAGTGAAAAGCAAACTATTGCTAGACCAAAAAATCAACATCAGAATAGGTAAGGCACCAACAACAATGAGCAGATTGACAAAGAGAGTTTGGGAGGACAGCTCACAATTACAACAAAAACCCTTGTATATCAGGCCTGTGTTCTCAGCACTCTGCTTTATGGCAATGAAACTTGGTCAACCTATTTGCACCAGGAGAGACAGCTAAATAGCTTTCACATGCAATGCCTAAGAAGAATACGTGGCATAAAGTAGCAGGACAAAATCACAAACACTGAGGTACTGGAAAGAGCAGGTACTACAAAAGTCTTTTCCATGCTCAGTCTACAAAGGCTCAGATGGCTGGGTCACACCTGGATAATGGAGGATGGCAGAGTCCCTAAGGACATCCTTTATGGTGAATTAAAGGCAGGGCGAAGATGTCGAAGCAGACCGCTACTACAGTATGAAGATGTGTGCAAGTGGGACATGAATGATACAGGTATTCAGGTGGATTCATGGAAACAAAATGCCATGGACTGTGTTGTGTGGAAAGGGCATATCAGGAAAGGAATGAGAGTGAAGGAAGAAATGATTGCAGAAAGGATGACAGCTGAGCATCTGAAAAGAAATGGATTAAACACAAATGTTGACAACAAATGGTCCTGAAATCCCAAGCTATCATTGTGGAAGACTTCTTGACATGGGCGTGTCTTGCTAGTCACACTCGCCATCGCCATGGGTTGTTAGTCCCATGCCTCCTCATAGCGCAATATAAGACTATTGTCTGGAAAGACGGAAAGGTGCCAATCATCGAAATTTTATAGTAACTAGTACAGAAATGCAAAATTTTTCTGGGACTACAGATGCTTCGTGTAACTAGGCGGTCTCCATTTCCGGTGATTTTTGACGTCTATGGAAATTGAATTGCCTCGTATAAAACTAGGGCTAGAATACAAATGACCACGAAGATCAGAAAGTTAAGAAAGAAACAATATGTATTTGGTTATGTTATGAGAAGAAAAAAACTGGAACATGCTGTGAATAATGAAAAGATCTGTGCAAAAATAGAAGGAAAAAAGACAGCAGGAAAAGATTTGTGACAATCTTGTGTCATGTCGGCACATAAACTATGCATGCAGCATGCTGTAGAGGAGGGTCAGGGACTGTGGAGAGGAAATACCAACCCAGTAGTTTCATAGATAACTGATAACAATGTGTCTTTGCCTCCTTGAACTTCTAAGATATGTGAAGCTGCATGTTTTCTGCCTGCAGACTCTGTTAGTTCAACTGCCTTTTTTATTTTTACTTTTATGGGTTTTAGTTTTATGATGATCCAGCTGCAAGACAATTTCTTCTGTGAAGAGCATTGCAATAATGCTGTTGCTTTTTTAAATCCTAGATGGCCCAATCCTGCTGTGGTCAGTTAAGCACAAATAATAACTAGTTTGTATTATGGTTTCCTCTTTAAATAACTAAACTCGAAATAAAATTAAAACATCGTGTGAGATCCGAGATCGTTGTATTTTTTATTTCCAACGCAGAACCCTGAGAATCAGAAAGATGAATTATGAATGCTTCAGTCGACGCTGTCTAGTTCGGCCAGTTCCACTTATGCACTACAATGGCTTTCTTGGCCATATAGTAAAACAAACTAATTTTATAACCAAAAAGTTCTTTTTATTGAATTGTGAACAATCATAAGCCAAACAATAAATCAAAGCCATCGATGGAAGAAGAGACTGTTCGGAACAGTGTTCCCAATTGTGGACTGACGGCGTCCATTCCATATTTTATCAACCCACCATTTCTGTACTTACCCTAGCACATTCGATGGAACGAGGTGTAGGTCACTGACGTCTCAGACACCGTGCAGTGTAGATATTCTTGCTCAATAATTCTAGGCACAAAATGAAGATACTAAGATTAACCGAAGAAATGCACAAAAAACGCTGAAGCTGAAATATTTGCCGACTCTAGGAAAGAAGGTGGGCACAGACAAGGTCGGCGGCCATATTTAGTGTACACAAGCAACTCGGCTGTTGATTGGTCGGTTCCTGATAGATGCAGACGTGACCCGACACCACTTCCGGTAGCCAGGTGTCGTCTGGGAGTCAGTGGTTTGGGGTGAGGAGGGGGTTAGATGAGTCTTTAGATCAGGAAACGAGACCTGCCACTGCCAAGAATCTCGACACGGGCTACTAACTCAAAACCAAGCCACCTGAGGATAAGACACCGCAGGGAACTTCATCCCACCAGAACCTACAAGCACCAGGGGTCCCTCTCTCACACCCCAGCAAGCTATCTATCTCTCGCTCCCCTTCGACCTCACTACATGTCCCCTGGAACATTCGAGCATTCACTTTTTTTTCTTATTGGGTTGGGGTTGGGAGAGTCTATGTTACCTCCTCTACTTCTACACCCTGTGTGGCAAGGAAGAAAAGTCATGAAAAGGTTGCACACAGTGATAATATTTACGTGACTAATAAAATATAGTATATGCAAGAATGCCAAGCCAATGAATGAAAATGTTAGTAAGATCAACGAATTACTCTTTGCTGATGACCAGGCCTTGATAGCAGATACATCCATGAAATTACAACAACATCTAACATCCATGAATAAAGAATGTAAAACAAATAATATGAGAATCAACACTGAAAAGACAGAAGTAATGTCAATAGGAAAAAAGAAGGCAGATCTAAACATAGCAATAGAGTGCAAAGGCATTAAACAGGCATCTGAGTTTAAATATCTGTGAACTACATTTACGGAAGATGGGAAATTGGATAAAGAAATTAACATTAGATGCAGTAAAGCAAACCAAGTATTGGGACAGCTAGCACCCCTCTTACAGCATAAGACAATCCCAATCAGCACAAAGAGACATCTTATTCAAAGCATATTTATTCCAACTCTGTGCTACCAG